CCCCCCCCCCCCCCAACTACATTTTCACCGTTTTTTCTACTTTATTTTCCATTGCGTTACGTTTACACACTTTATGATTTTTCATAGTTTCCATCGGAGTTACGAGATATCGTTAAGTCAGACCTGAGATTTCAGTCCATTGCATGGTGGGCCCTCACACTTTCGTGATCCATATCTTCCCCATAACTGGTTAGATTTCACTCCGTGGTGATCAGTGGCCGTTATTATTCTAGCAATTATTTAGGAACTGGGCGATTTGAAACATTCATATTAAGGAGATAGCCCATCGGCAGACTTTCAAAGGTTCACAGACTTTTGGCAGCTTTTTGGTCGATCCTAGAATTCATTGGAACAAATACATTGAAGTCTCTCAGTACTCGACGCAAAGCCAGAGTAAGAATGCCTAAGAAGAAATCGTTCCAGAACTTATTGTTAAATGGGGTTGTGTTACTAACATACCTCTTTTTGGGATCCGTGGTGATAGCTCACGCAAGAGAACCATGGATTTGGCTACTGCTTAGAATTTATTGTCACATTCATTTTACCCAATCTCACACAGTAAGTATTGTCAGCGTTTTCCTCGCTACGCAGGTTTTTTGGTCGTAGGCGCTACCCATAAATAAAAATGAAAGGCGAACATGGAGCATGGAGATTGAAAAATGAAAGGATTCAACTCATCCATGCTCAAGTTCGTGCTCACTTTATCATATGAGCACGGTCGTGCAGCTCTGTGTTCCCAACGAAATACTTTTTAAGTAGTGGAGTGGTCGGTCTTAGATAGACTAACGGGTGTAACTACAATCGGTGGGTCATTTTCTGAGGTTTTCGTTTCATGTTAGGGTTTGGACATTTCAATTGTCAGTGTTTACCCTGTTTACTCCTTTCCTTTTGGTATTCCTAATAATTATAAATTTATTCAGTCAACATCACGGCATTCATCACGAGATGAGATATACGCGGTTCTACAGCAAAATGGAGGTCTAATTGATTGCCAAAGCACTAGGGTGAGTCCATAAAACTATTCGCCATTGGATAGGAGATTTTTGATATCTGCCTGATTTCAGGACACATTCATATATGCAGCAAGTTGCCATGTGACGGGTCTTGAAGCGGTTATGGAAATTATCGCCAACGCTATATGGAGAGCTCAGAATACACCTGAAGAAGTGTGACTATATTGTCCTAGTAAATTTTCTGTTATATATTTCTGGAGTGTGTTGTTTAGCTGGAAGAGGCGAAACTGATAGTGCAATACGAAATTGATGACATGCCTAAGAAAATCGAAAGTACGGAACCGTTGCTCACTGACTGGCTACATATGGTGAGCTTGAAATTTACTTTTTTCCTAATTATTACTACTTTTTGCCGTACCAAGGCCAAGGAATGCTTACCATTCGATTCTTTCTAAAAATTCTGAGTACTTCTTTATGATTTTCCTCTCACTTGTTTTGTCTTCACATCTGCCATTGTTATATTGGATCTCTCTTATTCTTCACTTTGCCAAGTTCATACGGTGCTCCCTCCGAACTCTGTGACCTTCGGGGGTAGGGTGTTCGGGGTAAATTCATGTTGAGACTGGCTTTTTGTTGAGACTGGCTTTTATGGTTTTTTTTTCACCTGTTTCTGTCGAATTTTATCGATTTTGGACATGAGAAAAGTTGAATCGGTTTTTTTGTTTTTGGTGGTGACCGAACGTGTGAAATGAAACTTTCAGGCCGCTTTTCGGGACAACACGCTAGGTTTTTCAAAATTCACCACAGAAGAAGGGCTGCGCAAAATCACTAGGGAACATATAAACTCGTACATAAGCCAATATCACGCTCCTGAGCGTATCGTTGTTGCAGGTAAAGTGAGCAGTGTTTCATTTTTGGTTTTGTATCATTATTCAACGTATCGATACTTTTATGATTTCTTTTGAACTCCTTTAGGAGTTGGTGTTAGTCACGAGGAGTTAGTCGCGGCTGTTCAGCGACACTTCGAACCAGGGACTGCCATGTGGGACAAAAATCCTGATCTCCTTCTACCGAATCTACCTCAAATTGATCGTTCTGTCGCTCAGTACACTGGTGGCGAGATGAGAGTAAGTATGAATACTGTTTGAGAGTGTTATTGAATGGGCTACATAGAAGGTTGATTCTTGTGGTCCAACTTTAATTCACCTTCTAGAGCTGCCTACTAGTCAACATAAGCAGGAGTCGGTGCAAAATCAAATTTCACCCATTTCTTTAGTCATGTTTTCATTATCATTGAGATCCCAATGTAGTTATGCCTATCTGATGTTTAACCCTTTGACGACAATGCGGATTTCGCCGTGACGCGCCCATAGGGCCACGTTCCCCTCTTTTCGCGCGCAACTGGCACTCACCGGTGGGTGGCACTGTTTCGGGAGAAAATTCTTTCACTGGCCTGCTGAATTTATCACTTGGTAAGAAGCAAGAAAGTATGGTGGACCCCAAATTGGGTGCCAATGTCCCATGCGCCAATCATAGTGGCACCCACCGGTGGGTGCCGTTGTCGTCAAAGGGTTAAGCTTAAATCTTGAACACTCACACAAAAGCTCAAAGACCCTCCTTTCGTGTTAGAAATTTTGAAGTAACTTCTTCGGGTCGAAAACATCAGTACTTTGGTAGGTTGGGTAAAGGTACTTCACCATTCAACATAGAAACTTGGTAATGTTTTCACGCCTTTACCTATTGAGCATAGGGTTGAGGGCAGTGGGTGGTCTCCTTTGCATCATGCCAGATAACGGGGAACCTGCATCGAGTATCATTACGTCTAAGTTTAGATGGTCCCATTGGGTCGATCTACCAATGGCGCATGGGATGCGTTCATGACTTTCTTCGTAAGTAAAACTGAATAATGACGTTACTTCACTGAGCTGGAACCTTTCTCGTTTTTCTCGCTTGATTATAAGCTTTGGGAGGTGACTCTGATCCCTACATTCGTGTTATACTGAGGACATGCCTGTATCCTGAAAAGGGATTTCTTTTCGGGACTACGAGACATCGTTTAGAGAAGTACATGCAAACGACCATTTAATTCTAGTTGGCAAATGCCCGCATTGTTTTCCTATAACGGTTTTTCCTTTTATCGGTTGCCATCTGGCAAAGAGTGAGTAGATGTTGGAGTAATGAGTAAGTACTGCACCTTCAGATACAAAAGGACTTGTCAACGTTGGCTATTGGTACTCCGTACCCGAATCTTGCTCATGTGGCCCTTGGATTTGAGGGCGTTAGTTACAAGTAAGTGTTTTGATCTTACGTTTTTGCCTTATCCCGCAGGAACCCTTATTTTAGAGATCCAGATTTCGTTGCTTTCTGTGTGCTTCATATGCTTCTCGGAGGAGGAGGTTCATTCTCTGCCGGTGGCCCTGGAAAAGGGATGTATACGCGATTGTACACTGACGTCATGAACAGGTAAAAATTTTTTTGAAGGCGAAAAAGGTGCAGAGTTTGTGGACGTNAAAGAGTGAGTAGATGTTGGAGTAATGAGTAAGTATTGCACTTTCAGATACAAAAGGACTTGTCAACGTTGGCTATTGGTACTCCGTACCCGAATCTTGCTCATGTGGCACTTGGTTTTGAGGGCGTTAGTTACAAGTAAGTGCTTTGATCGGTTACGTTTTTCCCTTATCCTGCGAAAACCTCTTATTTTAGAGATCCAGATTTTGTTGCTTTCTGTGTACTTCATATGCTTCTCGGTGGAGGAGGTTCATTCTCTGCTGGTGGCCCTGGAAAAGGGATGTATACGCGATTGTACACTGACGTCATGAACAGGTAAAAATTTTTTTGAAGGCGAAAAAGGTGCAGAGTTTGTGGACGTGATTGTCTGACATCGGGTGTTTTTTTTTCGAATGGTGGTCGTTTTGAAGAAACCGCGCTTTCACTAGGCGGGACTATTTGCGTTAGTTAGAGCTGTGGGTGGTCGCAGACAATCTCGTCCATGTGTTCTTTTCTTCAAACACAGATATTCTAAGAAGTTGAACCATGCGTTGAAGGTGTCACTGGATTTATGGTGCAACAGCGTACAATCATTCATATGCTGATGCTGGATTGTTTTGTGTACATGCCAGTAGTGATCCAGAGCAGGTGAGGACCTTTCGATTTCCGATTTCCATTCAAAAGCGAGTTTTCAAGTTCAGTTAATCTCAAATTTACCTACAACTGTAATAGAATGTGTGAAAGCGTAAGTGGAAGCTCTGGTTTTTTATCAGTCAAGAGGCAGTTTTGAAAAGGAAGCCTTTGTAATTTATGGGCGGGGCTTAATGCTTATGCCTGCACATACTGTTACATATCTAATAAAGAATCTATCTTTTCAAGCGCGTGATTGCTATGCTCTCAACTTTAAAGTATTGTAAAGTAATGGTTTGAGAGATTGTTGTATTAGTGGAGTGGAGCAATATATTGTCTAAGAAAGCCCTGCGAATGATCTGCAGATTTTATGGCGAGAAACAAAGTTTGCGATAATACGCACAAATATGACCTTTCATTAGAGTTTGTGAAAGACAGACTTTCCACTAATGTGCTTATGAAACCGTTAAAAATGCCACGCTGACGTGGATGAAGTTTTAGCTTTTGCACTTTTGTTCAAGTAATATACTTTTCAGATTAACGACGTCCTTGTTATTATCCTTGACCAATTCTTTAAACTGCTTAAAGGAGTCGAAAAAGAAGAACTGGAAAGGTGAGTCAATGTTTAATGAAAGATAGATCAGAATTGAACCATATGACGTACGGTATTCAGGGCGAAAATTCAGCTCAAATCTCAGTTGATGATGAATCTCGAGGTACGGCCGGTGATGTTTGAAGATTTATCCCGTCAAGTGATAGGACATGGCTATCGGCGGAAACCTCAGGAGTACCTAGAGAAAATAGGTGAACTCTTGTTTACTTTATTTACATTTTACTCGGGAAAGGTTAGTGAAAATTCTATCAGGTCGAGAATTTGTAAGAAGAGTGGGGTAGTTGAAGGGCAAGCGAACGCTATTAAGTGCCAAAATGTTGTCCTTCCAATAATTTTTTCTCGAAAGTGTCATGTTTACAATCAATTACTTTCTTTCCTTTTTGTTTGGTGGTGTGGCGGTCAACCTTGGTCCGATTCATAGCTTGGGTCCTTTAAATCCGACCCAGATGGGACGTAAACGGGAATTTTCGCTCGTTCGATCAGCGTCACTTTCGCCTTTGAAAGAAATTTTCTTCAACTCATTTCCCGCGGACGAAGTATTATGGACACAAGGACAGGAGAAGCAGACAGATTCACGGCTTGTGAGTAAAACTCGGGTGGAAAGCCGCTTGGAAAAACAAGCTTCCCAACTCTCCGGGGTTACCTAATTGGTACCCATCTACATTCAAACGCTGCTTCAATCCCGAATGGAGGCTGGATACATGGCGCATCCCAATGCTGGATCGCATTACAAAAGCATTATCCTGTTTCGTTTGTCGCATTAACTGGCTATCCTTCTGAGCAATTTTGTTTACTTTGTTGTTTGTTTTGTTGTTGTTGTTACCGTATACCTTGATTTCTCCGTATTTGTAGAAAGTGTGACGGCGGAAGAGATTGTACGAATTGCGGAACGTATGCTAGCTGGACGGCCATCGTTGGTCGGATATGGAGATATCGGTAAATTGGCGGTGAGTTTAAATTTTTTTTCAGTTTCTATTGCCAAAGAAACATGAGTTTGTCGTTTACTGTGGAATAAATATTCAAAGAGATTTACCAGTTAAGTCGTTGTTTAAAATAGAACCTTGAATAAAGCTATTTTTTAGTTTGTGCATCTTTGCACTTTCGTAAAAGCTGGTTAGCGGGATGACTTTTAGATCATTCTTATTCAGTGTAGGCCTCAATAGCCACTCTAGGATCGCGATTTGAATTCTACACTTTTGGAAAGGTGAGGGGCAACAATTTTCTGCTTGTTTTAAGATTCTTAAAGTGCGCCACGCGTTTGAATCCGTTCCGAGATCTCCGGGGCAATTGAATGCGTATCCAAGCTTTTTGATTGGAAGTTGATGTCAACTTATAATCAAGTTTGTTCTTTGCCATTTATGATGGTAACCAGATGAACCTGAAGCAATTAAGGGCTATGTCGGCCGGCTTGGGCTCCCATCTCAGTGTAAGCGTATGCTCTACAGCGCCCCTTGTCCATAGGCCAATTCCGCTACCTTGCCATTGTTATGGATCGAAAACGAATGGCTGCTCTGTATTGCTACTTTTGGATTTCACATGATTTCAAGGGGTAGAATGAGCTGAGACTTCTGGAACTGACTCGCTGATATGTTTTGTGCCGTAAAGCTTAAGAATTATGTGATTTAGTTTCTCTTTACTTTTGGATTGAAGTAATGGTTATTCGGTGTAGCCTTTTGAACTGCTCTAGTAATCTTGTTTTTGTTATTTCAGAGTTACGAAGCGCTTGATGAGGCTGTTGCACGTCGAAATCTCCAAAGTCTTATCTCACGAAAGAAGGCGTTTGGTTGGTGATGTGTCTTTGATATATGAAGCTTATAATTACTAGGCTTTCACGTAAATATCTACGTCCTGTGCTGTTATGAATATACTATTAAGATTTTGTTATGTATACTTAGGATCCTTGTTTCGTTCTTGTTTTCTGCGTATCAGATACATGCCTAATTAGAGAAAATAGACGGTTGTTAAGTGATGATGATTGTTGTTGTACAGAAAAGTCCAAATGAAATTAATCAAATTGTTTGACACTTGTATTTTGATCATTTATTAAAAAGAACCATCTAGACTGAACGAAATCAAAAGAAAAAACGAAAAAAAAACTACCGCATAATTACGTAATTATTGCCTTAGAAGCTCTAGGGGGAATGGTGATGAGGAGGATGAGAGGGCCGGCAAGAACTTGCGACAAAAAATCGCTTTCATTATTGCATTAGGATCAATGAACAGTATTGCATAAGCCGTATAATAAAAATATGTGTAATTGTAAACAATAATATGAACACAATTCTATGAATATATAAATGAAAAACACGACGAATGATTTGTGGAAAAATGATGAAATTAGGCATCAGCGAACTCGGTGCACAGTGCAATATAGTGGGGCATGGACGGTGGGGGTGCCTTCACGGCTTCCGCCGCGAGCGGCGCGAAATCTTTGCGTGCGGCATGAGCTGCCCGCGGTGATCTCGAAGGTACCTCCTGACCCGTACCCCAGTGTAATGTGTTGTACTTATCGATTGTTGTAGAGAAAAAAAAACGGAAACAAATGTATATGACAACTCAATCAAGTAGGCAAAAGGACAATGTTCCACACATCCACGTCTACTGCTATAGTCAGTAGAGATCATGCTTGAAGGCGCATTGATAAGTTAGCAGAAAAGCATTCAGCATTATATATAAGGGCCAAGAGTTACTTATCTAGAAAACGTGCTCTATTTTGGTAATGAGGTTCTACGGTACGAGTTTTATTGACACTGAAGGGAAGTGTTACTGTAATTCAACACACACCGGGGTGTTTAAGAACGTCTCAAATGAAGGCAGACATGACAGCGGCAAAGACTAATGGTGACGATGATTTCGGCCTCGTGGGTGCTACGGGGAGGTTGGGGATCGCGACGGATAAAGCTACGGAACATAAAGGCAAAAGCCGTTACTTAATTAGGGATATGTGATCGTATGTAACGGCTATTCACTCGTTCTTTGCAGGTGAGTTGATGAGTGTTGAGAGGTCAGAGAAATTGGCTGATAATGTGGACGTGGTCGGCGATGCGGTGGTGGCGACAACTGTGGCGGGCGACGACGTGACCGGCGACGCGACGCTGCTTGGCGTGACTGTAGCCGTCACCGCTGCCGCCGCCACAGAACTGGCCGTTGTGGTCGTGGTTGACGCCAGTTGTTTACACATTTCGTTTAGCCGAGACATATGTTGCAGATACATGAGCTGCTGAGTCTGTGGCATCGTGGCCATGACCATGTTGAGCACGTCCTGCTGCATAAGTGGAGACGGAAATGGCATTGCCACAGCCGACGGGATGATCGGTGCAGCCGCTGAGACGGCCGGCGTGATCGCCGGCGAATGTGGACGTCGTACGGCAGCCGCTGCCAACATCGCACTTGGCGTCATCAGAAGTGACTCTGCTGAAACACGTAAACAATCACCTTCTGGGGCTTTTCCCCATCTGGGTAGACACCCACCTGCAGCTTGAGCAACATGATTCATCGTATGCTGATTCATGACTGCCATAAGCTCCTGATTTAACATCATCGGATACGGCAGATCACCCATTGGCGTCGGATGTGGATACGGATGATGACTGCTTCGTTCTTGTTTACGGAATTTAGCACGCCGATTTTGAAACCACACCTGAAAGGAGCATTTTAGTTGCAGAGACGACTCGTCCAACTGTTTACTACTAGTTATAGAGGAAAATTGAACGCATATGCAGTAGTGTAACGATTATGAACGTTCATTATGGGATCATTATTAGAGATGATTTGGATAACGAGATGGATGACTGCTCGTTAACTAATGACCCGATCTCAATGGTGTCGTCCCTCATAAGATTCAGTTGAAGGCATTTGAAAACGGGAAGTTTCTTATCCCCAGAGCATGTTTTCAGCGATGTTTCCCCCCAACAAATCCCAGGCTTCGTTAATGTATTTATAGTTTTATTTTTGTCACTATAGAAACCCAAAGAAGGCGATTCGGGAGACTAAATCTGTCCAAATCACCCTAATTAGTTCCGTCTCCAAAGACGTCCATGATATTAAGTAAGTGTCAGGGAATCCCGGAAGCTTAAATCCCTCCCTCCCTGTACAACAGAACAGAATTAGTCCAGAGATCTTGTTCTGCAGCAGTCAAAGCCGATTTAGGGGCGAGGGAGGGGAAAAGAGAGAGCAGCGGAGGAGTATGAAGGGCCACATCCTATTTTTATCGAAGGTTCCGTGATTATGAGGCTCGCGGCGGGCTTTTAAATGAAAATTGAAGCTTTTAAAATATTAATTTCAAGTAATTAATTGAATAGATAGATGTGGGATATATTGAACAAATCTGTAAAAGAAAGATATAAAACTGAAATAAAAAGTAATATTCGATTCTTCCAATGAAAAAATCAAAAATCCAAATCAGTAATAAAACTTGTTTTTTAGCAGTAAGATTAGATAGGTGATTTAAGGATCTGGGTTTTTTTTTCATCCAACAGGAATTTCAAATGTTCCTCTTGCATCACCCTGAAACGCTCCATACAAATGGACTCCGACTCCCTTGAGCTGAGAATCTCAGAGACCACCCACGTGGATGCTACACCTATCTATATATGGCCGAAAGTTTATTTCAGGCATACTGCTTTGCGAGAAAACCTATGATCTGGAAACTGTTCCCTTACGATATGTCCGCTTCATTGACAGAATCTCTTATAAATAAGCTATTACGGTATGATTACTGCAGTTCTGAAAAAAATCGATAAATTGATTGCCATAACTAACCTGTACTCGAGCTTCGGTCAATGTCACACGTTGGGCTAGCTCTTCTCTGAAATTCGGAAATTGAATGTGGACAATTTCAGTGATTAAAGTGTATATGCACAGCGAGTGGGTAAGAGGCGCTGTAACGAAGGGCATGATCAGTGGATCGAGTCCTACACCAACCCGTCAGTTCATCTAGATTAGCACCAGGCATCTGTTCACACTGGGAATCAGAATTTGTACCGACTGCACGTTCGGTTACCCTTCACATTATTTGGTAGGTTTCGAATGCATGGCGCATTCCCAAGAACTGGAAGGACTGAAAGAACTGAACACCCCATATCCCCCCGTTATACATAGCATTTCAATATGTCCGAATCGCATTTCAATGTCCGTCCGTGGCCGTCCAGTCAGTCCAGATTGTGTTCAAATAGCAGCACGGTAATTGATTTGAGCAGCATCGCTAATTGATTGCTAACAGGTGGCGGTGGGGTCTTTTCCGAACGATTACTCTCTCCCAATTAGACCACCCACAGATATGATCCCCATGATGGGCTGGCTGGCTGGCTGGCTATACATTCGTGTTATGTGTATTTGTGGTGAACTAGTAATAGAAGTACATCAAATGGGCGTGGTTTAAGCGAGGGGATTCCAATGAGCAGATACTACTGTCATACCTTGAACGTCATCATCATCCCTCTAAATACGTACATCCATTATGACAATAGGATTAGAACCGAATTAAATTAATCAGGTAAAGTACAACTGGTTCGTATACGGGCTTTTTTCAGGATCCTGAAGGTGAAAACTTTACTCATTGACGTTACTCCTTGAGCTTGAATTCCCAGTATTTTTCGTACCTAACAATTTGTTCCCGACTACTAGGTACGTCAAAATCATGTCCCACCCTCGTTTCACGAGGTAAATGCAATAATTAATAGTCGTCAAGTCATCAACAATAGTCAATTAGGCTCGCACGCAAACGGCCGAGCGATATTTGATGCGTATGCGTGTTACGCTAATTGCTCTTCGAAGGACTTGTAAACGACGATTTGTATGACGACGACGACAACCAATGAAAGCAATGGATAGGCATATATCATGTTGAATAACAACCCGATATGGTTGTATTTTTCAACCATTTTCCCAGTTTTTCCCTGAAAATTCCCCCACGATGGGGGAAGTGCGACGTCCCCGACGCCGGCGGCGACAATGTCGACGACGCTTGCAGCGGGCGAATGTCGCTCATTATCGCGCGGCGATTACGAGCGACAGCTGTTGTCGAATTTCGAATGACGCCGCTATGAGAGACAACGGGAATTGAACGTAGTGAACGCCCCCCGAAAAAAAAAGAGGAAATTAGTAGCCGTTCTCGTTGAAGACTTCCTCAATTTCGGGTGAATTCATGCGAAAACGTCTTTGTCAAAAGCGATTTTCACCATAACTGAAGGTGGACTTTAAGGCGCACGGGCTAAAAAATGGCCTGATTCATGGCCCCGTGATCTGTGATAACCCACAAAAGCATAGGCGGGGTCACAGATGTATTGGGCCCCTCCCTGAGAACGGAATCTACCTACTCGATCATTGTTAATTGGGATGAATGATTAATGGGTATCAAACTTGTCCATCCGTCTGGGATCCCAGGTGAACACGTTCATTTGGATCAAACTGTCAGCCAGTCCTAGACCATCGATCTTCCTTGGTACTTGATATGGGAACAGATTCTCCCTAGAGGACATACTGATACAGTAATTAGAAGATAAGGACCTTATGACCTTGCCACAGATACGTCTGTTGCGATTGCAACTCGGAGGAGAGTGCGCAGGAAGCTCTTTCAAAATGCACTTGCTAGTTTCCTAGTATGGCCTTATCTTCATTGCACGATTCACCTTTGACCTAGACAAATCAATAACCGTGCTACTTCGGTTTTTTAGCCGAGGTAAGGGTTCGGAGTGATAGAAAGACCACCNCGTCTTTTGATGGTTACCCTGACGGCTATTCCCAACCATCGCCCCTATAGTGCCCGGGTGGTTTGTGTTCGTGGCGTTATGACGCGCTATAGCGATGTCAGTGTAGTCACGAAATGACACTCAATTAGGGACATATTCGTAGCCCCAATATGTGAGAGTTTCATGCAATTTGCGCTATTACATAATGCGAGCAAAGTGAGCTTAATGGCCAATACCCATAGCTCAAGCTGCTCGTAAATAGATCTTCCCTCCTCCTCCTCGGGTACCGAAAGTCAACGGGGCTATGACGTGCCTACCCGAGCTTAATACCATCGCCTCTATAAATCCCCCTACTGGGTGGGTACATCGTCTACAGAATACAAACCTTGTGAACACATCAGGATAGTGTGTACGTGCAAAGACTTTTTCGAGTTCATCCAATTGATAGGCACTGAATGTCGTTCGATACCTGAAACGGAACGGAGTAGGAAAAAATCACTGAAAAGAACCTCTTTGTGAACGCAGTGTGTGGCGCGTTTTAGGTTTTTTTGATCACAAAAAATCACGGTTTCAATGGCATACCTTCGCTGTTTTCGTTTGCCATTTTCATCTGGACTCTCACCCCCGTCGTCCGAGATATTCAACGAATCTCGTTGTTCCGATACAGATGGAGCAGCATCGTGCATAACTAAATACCCGTACGGAATGTGTATGAAGAAAGAAACACGTGAAAAGGTGAGAAATTGAAATCCAACAGGAAAATCGGGTTCAATTCCTGGCTTACCAGGCTTTTCCTCTCGTCGTTCCTCTTTGTTATCGACCTTCGTAAGTGATGCAATCGCAAATGGACTGTCAAATGGGACCGATGGCTTCACCAACAATGGTGATGTTACACCAAATTGTGCCTGAACACTTGTTAAATTACAAAAGGACTACGAGAAAACTCGTCCAAAAACACGTACCTGAAACTGCTCAAGTTGTTTAGCCATATCTGGTCGCATAACTAATTGAGCCATATTCATGATGTTCGTAAATTCGTTATTACTTTGTTTTTGGCCAAATATACTGGATGGCTCGAATTTCTCTGCTGTACCCTGGGTGGAAACCTGTTCGGACATCAAAACGAGATCTGGAAACTTCATTAATTAGTAATTACAAGAATATATATGTATGTACGTTCATGTCGACGACGTGTTAACGGGGGCTATTGTTAAGAGTAATACGTAAGTGCGAAATGACGGAAACAATAGGGGGATAAGATGAGATAAAAGGAACACATAGAGGACATTGCCACAAAAAAAACCGTTGTTCATTAATAAAACTAACTAATATGATCAGTAATTATAACGGCCATAACTAGTACTATGATAGTAATGAAGGTAGTAAAGTAAGGGAAAAGCGAGTAGAGGTGTACGAAATGGCGGAAAAAAACGGACAATTTCAAGTTCTGATCTTTCAAATGTGTACGATGAGGAGTAGGAGTGTACGATTTGGCAAAAAAACGGGGAAATTCAGATTCTGATCTTTCAAACGTGTACGGGAGGAGTAGGAGTTGAGGATATGACAAAAAAAAAANAAAAAAAACGGACAATTTCAGGTTCTGATCTTTGAAATGTGTACGATGAGGAGTAGGAGTGTACGATTTGGAAAAAAACGGACAATTTCAGGTTCTGATCTTTCAAATGAGTACGGTGAGGAGTAGTAGTGTACGATATGGCAAGAAAAGTGACAATCTCAGGTTCTGATCTTTAAAATGTGTACGGTGATTCTTTTAGCAATGAAAATTGGCATGCAAAGTGCTTCATCACATCATAAATCAGCTCGGCCAAAGGCCTCAATCTCATGTGATATACGTCGTAGCTCGATGAAACGAATTAAGCAGCTCCTCGTCGCTATGTTTTAAATATAGTAACTGAGTATTGGGACGTTCTAATAAGCTATATTTACTGCTGGGGAACAATACATGGGAAATAGGCAGTAACTAAAAGTAACCAAATCTATTTCTATCTAAGAAAAATAAGTGTTATTGTATGTAATATTGGTAGTTACTAGTATCTTTGAGCTACAAAAGTTCACTAGATCATCAAATGACTCTTCGGAATGAAGTGAAACACAAAAAAGTGTGAAACGGTGCAATAACAGGCGGTGCAATTCGCCGCGCTTCGCTTCGTCGCCGGCCGCTTCCCATCCACACCTCCAAAGGGTCACTGAAAAGGAACCGCTCTAGGGGAGTACGGGGATCAAAGCGGGTAAGTTTGTGCAATGCAAGAGGTAAGATTGAGTGCCGACGGCGTTGAGTCTCAGTTGGTATATCCGCGATAATTGAATAAATTAATGAGATTGCGAGGTAGCGCAGTATTAGTGAGAATCACGGTTATTAATTTAACACTGCATAATTCACGTCCGTAATATGTGAAACGCATTGTACACACACACACTCTCATATACACTCTCTCATGCACACACATACACACATACATACACTTTTATACATACACCCCCATCCACCATATATAAAAGGCCCAATAAAGCCCGCCTGTTTTCTATTGAGACCACACAAGGCGAGTCTGGAACTACAGTATCTTCCAGTCAAATGTCAGAATAACATCGATTTTGATCGACATAATGAACAATATTTGCGAAAAATGAGCTGCCCGTTTTCTGCGTGGGTGGTCCGCACGTAAATAGCTACTCCATATTTGACTACTTATCTGTTTGTCTGTATAGTAAGTATGAATGGGTGCGTGTGTGTGTGTGGTCCGTATATGCCTCCCACGATTGTCGAACGAGAACAAAAAAACTCGTGCACCGACATCACCGAAAAACCACCCATTTATCACCATTGCAAATCGAACGCTACATTCATTTGGGTGGGTATAGCCGGTGGTTTTTACCCCCCGAATTTAACAGTAATCGATCATTTTCAGGAGGGTGGGTATAAAGAAACTTCATGAACATGACTTCAGGCTCTCTTCTTGGATACTAATCTCTTTAGAAGCGCTCTTTTAGCGCGTGGGTTGATCTAAAGGCGATCAAATCTAATTCTGGAGATTAGGGTATCAGAGTAGAAGAAGCACATACGCACATGTGGGAGGGAGCATTCGACGGCGAAGCTCATCTTTTGCTCTTCACCATCACATCACTGAGGAAAGAAATTGTACCGTAGGAGAAGAGCCAGAAAAACATGAGCCTTAAAATAGTACTTTTAAAAATTACAAGTATGATTTTACAGAGTAAAATGTAAGTAAGCCGTAGCCGGGTTTCGATGTGATACATGCACAAACGCACACGGTAATGAGTGTGGGAATATGGCGCTGCATAAGCGCACTTATGAAGACGTTTCAAACATATAATATATATANATATATATACTTATAAATATGATTATGTATGTAATGTATACAAAGAAGTACAGTACTAACTAGTAAACCAGTAAAGTTGCATTTACACAGACAGACAGCCGTACACACGCATACACACACATACACACATGCTATGAATATCCAGTGTGGCTCGGATTAATTTGGCGTGAATTATCCCGTCAAGAGCATTAATTAAGCTGTGCGCTGTCATTAGTATTCTGATTGGTGTGCATAGGTTCAACGGGATACTTATAACCACCTTACTGAAGCTTACTGATAACGAATACTATAAAGTAATTAAATTGTAAGCGGAAAATGATCTTTAAGATGATGCGAATCTCGAAAAAGGAAGCATATGAAACTATTTGGACGAGTTTTTATGCTGATTGGTGTCATCGACGGACGGATACTATAAATCTCTTAAATTGTAAGCGGAAAATGAGCTTTAAGATGATGCGAATCTCAAAAAAGGAAGCATATGAAACTATTTGGACGAGTTTTTATGCTGATTGGTGTCATCGACGGACGGATACTATAAAGTAGTTAAATTGTAAGCGGAAGATGAGCTTCGAGATGATGTGAATCTGGAAAAAAGGAAACGCATTTGAAAACTATGTGGACGAGTTGTTATGCTGATTAGTGTCATCGACGGAGACGATGGCGTGTATTCAATTATATAACTTTATGCTGTTTACACGATTATCTACAGGCTGTTAATTGAATCAAACAGAATCGTTCGTCCCACCCCTACCCCCACAAGAATCCAATACATCGGGGGGNATGATAAGCATTTCTATAAATCAGGGTGATCACTTGGAACGACAAAAACTTTTCTAAGTATTCTTACTTAGGCAATTACTCTATAAAAATAGGTTGTTGTCAAGGTTGTAGTTTCAATTTGTAATAATTAAAGGTTGTCATTTTACGGGTACCTACTTGTTAGAAAGGCTGTCTAAATCAAATTCCTAGTAAGGCGGGTCTTGAGGATGATTTACTCCTCTCAGAACTCAGATGGCATAATGATGAGTATTGTAGATCTTACTGGAGTACCGTAGGTAATAGTATGTCTGGTGTGATATTGTACAAGCAGATGATGATTTATGAATGGCTCTTTATGAATGTAATTAACGTTAACCATATCACTTCACACCTCCCATTACAACCGGAACCTCATACACGCGATACTTGAGGTCCATAGATCGGCTACAAGGGTCCACTACAACCCTGCCCTTCATTGCCAATTAACTCGTGTTTATTACTTCCTGTAGCACATTTTGTACTAGTAACTTAACTAACAAGTACGATAACTATGTATATAACAGTAGTAATAGCTATAGGCAGAAAAAGTCTTGATTGAATAGTGTAAATAGGGTGTTATAGGGGGGAAGAAGGAACAGAAGAACCGAGGGCTGGTTACTGAGGATGAGGGGGACTAACGAGATCGAAAATGGCAAGGTAATGGGCCAAATTAGCATATTACCTAGCATCCGTAATCCATGAATCGGTTCCGCACACGCGAATAACCGCATAAACGATTGTGGAAACTAGTTAGGCATGAAATGAGTCAGTTAGTGGATGAGACATCTTGAGTGAGTAGGAGCAGATCATAGGTGGGGTTCTTTCCGAATCATTCAAGCCTATGAAGGGGAAAAAAGGGGAAATAATGATTTCTTATGAATGACGGCGTAAAAGGGGGGAGGGGGACCATCTCGTCCACATTAATTGGGAATTAACGAAGTTTGACGGGGGGCATCAAACGGGCACGGCTCAATTGTCCGCCGTTGATGTGCCGTCGCTCCATTAGTGAAGAGAGTTCGACTTGAGAGCTCCCCCCTCTCTGCACAGTGATTCGCCGCGGCTCTAATTGGAGGAGGACGAGCCACAATTGATGAGTCGACTAAGGCGAGTTATCCTTTTGTCGCACTTATACCTTTCACTTCCTTCGTCGTTAGACACCGGAAAAAGGTGTTCAGACGGTCTGAACGGGGCGATTCCGGTATCAGTCCCTGAACCAAATGGTATCACAGGTAGCTCCTCTGGCTATAGTGGCCAGGTGGAGACCCTTCATCGAATGTTCAAACTCGTCAGAGCTTCTGAAGGACTAGTAGAAGCCATAAGGAGCTGTCGTCCGTTCTCGCTTCAACCCCATCTTGCCCGTTCTCGTCATCAAGCTGCTTGCGTTCACCTTCACCAGTCACCATGAATAGTGATTATCGTAGAGCCCGTATTTCCTCACCGAAGTAATCATCTGCAAAGTGCAAACATGTGAATGATGATCTAATTTATTTTCAACTGAAAAATACGCATCGTTACCTCTTCGGGGGCCGACTAAAAAACAACCCTCCCAATGAAGCCCAACGGGCCATGATAATTAGGGTAGACAAAAAAAATCCCCAGGATGAGTCATTTTTTCCAAAATCCAAAAGTGCCTTCGAGTTCAAGAAATCAAATCAGTTACCCCTGGACCTTCCAGAGATTGATATGTGGTAACCAGTTATGGGGCACAGTATGACGTGAGCCTGTGGGCAACCTACAACCTAAAAGTGTATTTCACTTATTAGATTAGGATCGCGACAATGTGTTCCATTGTTATACGTGTGAAAATAGCTAAAAATTCTTCGAACTTACAATACTTACTCGGATTAAAAGTTACCAGTCGA